TCACCGAAACCCCGTGGCGGCGGCGACTCCAGGACGGACGCGGCAATGCGGCCGCCGCGGCTCGATCCCGGGCGGGCAGGGCGGTGGGTCGCTCACGTGCGCACTGTAGCAGGCAGGCAGGCACAGGGTTTTGTTGGTTCTTGGCGAGGGGAGAGCCGAAGAGGTGACCGCGCGTCTGGTGGTGTGACCGTGTGAGGCACAGAGCACTAGAGCAGGGAGGCAGGGGTGGGTGGAAGTGGAACCAGGCGAATGGGAGCAATGGGGGAGTAATGGAGGTGCGGGGGTGGGAGTGTGGGACGCAGGAATCTCGAATTGCTGATAGTGGGGTGTACTGGGCTACTGGCTACTGGCGCTGCAGTGCAGTAGGAGAAGATCTTTATTTCTTTTTTTTTCCTTTTTGCCTTTTGATTCGAGGTGCAAACACAGGGGTGTTTTAGGTTTTACCGTCTCCTAATCAACCAAATTTTTGGTATGTTCAAACTTTAGTTAACAAATCGATTGCTATAGATTCGATCAACTTTGGTCACCAAAATTTATTACTAAGAAACAAAAACACATCTTAGAAATTGGGCATGTTTTGCATAAAAAGATGATAAATGGATTTACATTAATCCTACAAGTTTCTTTTTGCGTGATAGAATCCACGTTTTATCGAGTTATACAAACAAACGTTAAGTTCACCACGAGCTAAGTATAACTCAATCAGTTAAGTCCTCGGTGATGAAACCTGCTCACCCGGTTTGACCTGTTTTTTTAAAAAATATTTTAGGATCTTATGATGCATTTTTTTAGTGTAGACAATGTGTTCTTTGCTTATAGTGACTACGTCTCTCTAGATATACCGACTCCATGTTTCAAAGGTGATTATAGGGTGCAGTGTGTGCACGCATAGTGTGTTTATATGTTTTAATGGTTGCCAATGTATCCGTTGGTAGCGAGGCCCCGTTCGCTGGTCTGAAACTTGGCTAAAACTGGCTGAAAAATACTGTTCCGGCTGAAAAAAAGAAGCCGAACAAGCCGAATATGAGGTAAGCCGAACAGGGCTACGTCAATTGAAATATGCCAGCTCAATATTTTAGACGTGTTTGTTAGTTACGGCCTGTGTACATGAATTCATAGAGTAAGTATTTGCAATTATACCTGTAAGTACATGCCGTTTCCGACGGGCTGCAAAACAAATAGCCAGTAAAACACGTGTCAATTGTTGGTCAAATTATATGTGGTAAAAAATCGGCAAACCATTGGTCAATGCGACACAATATTCTACTGGCAGCTTTTAAAAAAAAAATTCTACTGGCTACCGCAGCGAACCACTCCCAAGTTTAAGCGAGTGGTTCTGTCACGGACTCAGGACAGCGGACTAGTGAACTAGTGACTGAACACAGTGGACAATTATTGCTCAAACCCTAATACTAATGAGAATCTCAAGTACGCATGGATTTGGATGGGCGCGTGGGGCCCACACATCTAACCAGCCAACAGGCCACTATGGTGATCATGCGACCTTTTTCACTCTAGCGGACGCTAAAAAATAAATCTGATGCCCACATAGCAGACAAAAATACATCAGTCGAACCATCTTATGACAAATGAGCAAGAAAAAATAAAAGGCAGCCACAAACCCTAGCTTTTACACAAAATGGATGGAGTTAGTAAAGAATCTCTTGTACATGCTATTGTTCTGGTAGCTGGTATCGATACATGGGTCACACAAATCAATTACAGTACAGAACAGAAACAAAATTTAAAATGCAAAAGGGTGAATCCTCAATCCTCATCTCATGTTCAGTCTGAGTCAGAATCTTGAGCAGTTGAAGATCTAACCCTCCTATTCTTAGACTCGCTTTCTTCATCATTGTCGTCATCATCTTTCTTCTCATCAATTATCCCTAGAATTTGTTTTGGACGTTAGCACATTTGTCATCCCAAAATTGTCAAGGACTGCCGTATAGTTTTCATGGTTACCTTTCATCTTGAGAATATTTTCCAATGCTCTTGTTGAAAAATCATCTTTACTTCCGAGATCTTGAAACCCGACTAACCGGTCAACAGCAATACCCTTCCTGAAATAGGACAGGAGTCATAGTGTAGTGAAGCAGGAAGATTGCAATAAACATTATCAAATAGGCAGGAGAAATGAAAAACTTGTGCACTTACTTGAACAATATTACACATGGCAGTGTTTTGATTGCCAGTTTGGCCACAAAGAATGGAGCATTCTACAGTGAGTTATAGATAACATTAGACTTCACGATTTATTAAAAGAAAGTACTTTATAGCCAAGTGGTAGTATACACACTTCAGCATCAAGCTTGACGAATTTTGTTCCCACATAGATTGGGGCAAGGGCCCTCAAATGTTTATCCATGATCCTAGCAAATATTCACAGAAAACCATTTCAATAAGTACCAACAGCAAAAAATTATCTCAAAAATAAGAAAGACAAGTTATGGCATACTTGCAACGATAAAATTCATGGTGATAGAAATGGCATATCACTTTTTCACTGCCAGTAACCTCCCCAAGGAAGTCCCCTTCAGTTATCTCCCTGTATTCACCGTGACCCTGCCTTTTTAGCACTTCACGCTTCTCAGCCTCTTTCTGTTGCATATAGAGCTTTCATCAGGAATAGAAAGAACATGACAGTTGCATAAGCTTCATAAGTGAAAGATGGAGGTCAGTACCTTAAGGGCAGCAATTCTCTCCGCGTGCAACTTCTCAAGTTCAGGGTCCTGGTGAAAAGTTCCATGAATTTGACAACCCACAATATGACACAATACTATGTGCCGTACAAATAAGACAAATACAAGGGATAAGTAAATAAACTTTTTCTGCTTCTACTCACATCCAACAACTCATCAAGATCAACTTCATCATGACTTGCAGGTGCTGCTTGAGCCTTGTCTTTAGTCACCATTTCCTAAGATGATGTGCAGCAATGTCAGCATGACAAAATTAAAATCCATAATGGAACACAAAGAAAACATGCTCCATTTACAATGTCAGAAGTGAAATTCAAAGGGAAAAAAAAAGGGGAAACATTCTCTATACCATAATGGAAAGTCGAAAACGACTGAAAATGATAGAAACAAAATGGGGAGTCTGCCAACCACAGTACAATGATGGAAACAAAACAATGATACAACAAATAAACAATTAATGTGGGTTAACAGAACCGCAAAAAAATGTCAAAAATAACAAAATTGATATATGAAGTTTTCCATGATAGCCAGGCAATGTTATATGCAGGAGTCAATTGGGTCCATCTTCTGCTATATAAAGGGGTACAAAGTGAGTGAGGGGGCTTATAAAAAAAAACAAATTTCACCAATACATGGTCCTCCAACAGGCTAAGAGTTCTAAACTCTACCAATTTCAAGCAATTCCTAGCTCATGCTCACTGCTGAAATAAGCCCTTTAACTAAAAACCCACTGCCATACACAAACCACCGGAGACAATGCAAAGCACCACAAGTACAATATTAATGATTAAATACACTATCCCCGAGACCAAACATTATAAAACAAGGAAGTTCACTTATAACATATTTTTGAGCAGATTGAGAACTCAAGAAGAGCAATTTGAATACCAGGACTCACAACAGATACAACTCTGGTCCCACGACAGGAAAATTCAGTTACATATTTCCTAAAGCACACTCCACACCACGCAAAATCCAGTACATCCAGCTAGACAAAGCTCGTTTGCACATACCCATGAAATGGTTTGTTCACAAGAAGTACTTGTGCATTGAACACCATCACTCTATCGAACACCTGAAACGCAAGGTATTCTGGATTCGATCATGTCCATTCCATTACTCCCATGGATCACACCCCACTACACTCTCCAGCATACACCAGATTACATTCGAACTAGCAACCAGGTACTGATACCAGGGCAAGCATGCAAGCGTTCCCTAAGGCACAATTCAGCACCTCGCAGGCCGAAATCAGCAGCTACTATTCTGACAAAAAAACCTGGATCAACTCCGCTTACGCGCGCGCCAGCCTTGAGATCCGGCGCGCGGGCGCTAGCTACCTCCTAATCAGACTCTGCGATACAGTGGCGGTACCAAGGGCAGAGCTGCGGCAGGACGGCAGCGTAAGGCGGCGCCGGAATTTGTGGGGGAGAAGTCAGTCACCTTCTGGAGGTCGCGGGCGGCGGCGGCGATGACGTTGCCGAAGGCCAGGTTAGAGAGCGTCGACTTCACCGCGTCCGGATCCATCTCCACTGCCTCCTCCTGATGCTCCTGCTCGCGCCGGCGTCTCCCTCCCCCTCCGCCGCCGCACCGGCTCGCCGGATTTGCTCTGGTTTCGTGGGGAAGAAGAGCGGAGCGAAGTGAGCTAGTAGGCCTCGGTGGCTTGGAAGCTCTTCATAGATCATAGGCGTCAATGGAAATGGGCCCACTGGACCGAAGTATTAAGCCCAACAGGCCCGTTTCCGAAGTTGGGTTGAGAGAACTTGGGCAGTTGGCCTTGTAAGTTTTAAATCCTTTTTACTCTTTTTTTCTACTGTTTTTTTTTTGGGAAAGAGTATTTTCTACTCTCTTTTTTTGAAGAAGTCGTCCAGTAATGAAACAGTAAAATATTTTGATATTCTGCGATTAGAATCGAGTTGTAGAATAATGGCTTACGGAGGTCTCAGTTATAGAATTCGAGGTTCGTATAATGAATCCCAGCTGTCATTCTGAATGAGAGGATAGTCTGATACACGAGTTCATACTCATAAATGAAAAAGTCACTTGCAGAGGTGAGAGGTCCCGCAGACTTCAGTAAAATACGCGATTTCACTTGGTATAAAAACTTTTGGTTGTCAGAAAGAAATCTTTGCCGTTACAATGTACAAAAAAAGAAAAAAAAAAGATATCAATATTGTCACATTTCAACGCAGAATGCCTGACTTCCTGCTTTGTATCGCCCTCTCCTGTACAGCTGGGTACTGCCACGCCGAGTCCTAGCTTTATGGTCATCACCTGCCATCGACGTGATGGCGTGAGCTATAGAAGCCCCAGAGACTTCAGCTGGCTGATGTGCTCCGCGGGTAGTGGCGGCGGACACCAGTCTGTGCACTCGCCATCGACATCCTCTACAACATATTCCTGGAAGATATGACACCAAACATGAGTAAAAGTGTAAAACCATGGTAGATGAGGCAGCTGATGAATACACGGTGGTAGCACTCACCTTGGTTAGCATTCGTTTGGCAAGAATGTGATAATGCCGCTGCCAGATACGCTGGCCAACCATTGTAGCGACCAGGACACTGTAGAATACGCCGATAACCGTGAAAAGCCCAAGCACAATAACCCCCATGATGAGGAGCAGCGGTAGCCCGGCTTCCCCAGCACCTCCCAAGCAACCACCACACTCGCCGGCGGTGGTAGCGCAGCCTTCGAAGCAGGTAGTGCAGTCAGTCCACATGCAGAGCGTGCCAGGTAGATGGCAATCTGCACACATCCTGAATCAAATAGAACACATGTCAGTACAATCAAAACAGTACAAGCAAGAAAAACATGACCTGTGAGAATGTATGACGAACACAGTATAAATGCGTACGTATACAAGTGAACATGCTTTATCAATCCAGTGAAATTGGGTAAGTGCTGCAACAAACTATCTGTATCTTTATGAAGTTTAGCATCCATTCAAATAATTAGATAAAAAACACAATCTCTTTATGCTACTTTTGCGTGCATTTTTCCTATGCCACAATAACTGTCTTCACAAATGTTTTTTTAAGTATAAGATCGTACTTCATGACTTGAAGAGTGAGCTAACTAATGCATACCCTGGTTGACAGCAACAAAGACATAATTCTCGACAAGGCTGAGCCAAGTCATTCCGTACTCTTCGGTCATAACAGGTTATGAAGCATCCCGATAGTCCCAACAAAGCAAAAACAACAATGCACCTGTAATCAAGAGATAAGTTCATAATCAGTTCAGAAGGAAAACATTATGTGCCACGTAATTGACTAAAATGTTAGCAACATAGTGTTCCAATAAAAGTTTGAGCAGTTTGGCTCATATTGTTGGAAGTATATATGTCAATGATAAAACTTTCTATATATCAATGACAATACAACTTTCAACAGCTGCTCTCTGAGCTCAGTTTCGTCACATGTCTGATAATTGCAAACACATCTTATCACTTCTATAAGAATAACAAACACATTGATCTGGGCCATGGATAGATGTTTAAGTTGCAAGCAAAGATCTTCATGGCACCTTGCATGTTAACTCCCAATAATTGCATATTTATTCTGACAAAGAACACAATCCTAATGCTTTTCCTTATTCTTTACTCCTGTTCTTTTTCACATTAATTTAGAAACCTAAAAAAATCCCATGCAATTAATGAGTTCTAAGGATCCATGGTGACAATAGATATCATAGAAACCAGGATTTTTATCAAACAGGCATGCAAAAACAGGTGAAACTAGTAACAAAGGAAAGATTAAGCAGTTTACCACATATATAATAAAAACTAACTTCATTATCAAAACCCCAGGCTGTCCTTAACCAATATTGCTGGTACCCATCAATAAAATGTACCAAATATGCCAATGCAGATATGACCTGAATGAAGGAATAAGAAAATACCACTGGTCAATCAATTGAATGTAGATAGGGGATATGAATAAAAGAATGTTTCAAAAACTTACAATCTGGACTAGAGCAAAGATGAATAATATATCTCTAGTAACAAAGAAACGAAACTTCAGTGTTCGCCATTTCCTGTCAGTGTGGGAATGAACCCTCAAGTAATATGGAGCCTTGCAGGTGGTACAATGGGAAAATGCAAATCCCTCCTGTTTGTGAAGCATGAAAACATGGTTAGTTTACTGGTCTCGCAAAGAAATCAACAATCAATTTTTAGAAGCAAGCTCCAGATAAGACAGGCAGCAAAATGAACACAAACTACTGAATTTTTTTCATACTTATACTTACACCAGGAAAAGACATTATTTAGTTTGTGTTGCACAAAAGATTTCACATCTCAAGGGATGACTTGGCGGGAAAAAGGTGTAGACTTTCTAACCCAAACATTAAACTATAGTTCTCAGTTCATCAACATGTTTCTTGGGCTCTTGGCATAACCTGAACCATCCAAGTTCAACCTAAAATCCCATCCAAATCTGCATCTGCGGTTACCTAGCAGCACAACATCCAAATGGATGTAGACATTCCAACATCCTAACAGAAAGCAGAATTTGCAATACTACCAACCAGATTTTGACCTGGGAAACCTTGTCTAACCACTGGCACCTGTTAGTCGCTGAATTCTCACTCTTGGTAGTAGGAGAATTCTTACTCTCATCGAGAGAGGATGACACTAGGAGTTGGGACAATTTTCTTGTCTATTTCTTACTCAAATGCCATGCCAACCTGAGGGGTTGGGGTTACATATTTATAGGCTGCTATAGCCAGCCAAGCATATGCCAAGATGCTAGTCTAAGATACTAATATGATGTCCTACTGTCCTCTAGTCTAAAATGCTGTCCTAAAAGCAGAAAAACAGCCACAAGGACCATGTGAGCAGTACAGCCCCACAAAGACCACACATGAGACTTATCCATCATTCTCCCCCTAAGTCTTGTGCGTCGTCTTGTGGGAGAGTTGAACCATCCCGGTCCTGGAGCAGAGCTCAAGGAACTTGATCCTTCCAAGAGGCTTGGTGAGCAGGTCCGCAAGCTGGTCCTTGGTGTTGATGTAGCTCGCCTTGATGCTCCCTTCCTCCAAACAGCCTCGGATGAAGTGGTACCTCACCCGGATGTGCTTGCTGCGTTCAGTGGAACACGGGGTTCTTTGCCGTGGCAGAGCGGACTTGTTGTCCACCAGAGCTCCACCGCTCTAGTGTCTCTCGCCGAGGAGATCACCAAGCGGTCGAGCGAGCCAGGCGCTGAGTCGAAGCGGTGGAGGCCGCTATGTACTCGGCCTCGCAATGACAGACAGGCCACCACCGCCGCTTGACCGACTACCAGCTTAACGAGGCACTTGCCGAGGAAGAAGAGGACCCGCTCATGCTCTTCTTTGGTGTCGATGTCATTTGGCGTGGTCATTCGGCATTTATGCACCGACGAGTGTGCCGCCTGGGGCACCTCGGTAGTAGAGGCCGTGGTCGAGAGTCCCCGCAACATAGCGGATGATCCTCTTCACACACCTCTTTGGTACTCTCCGTCGTCGGTCATTGCATGAACCGACTAACGTGGCCGACGGAGAATGCCAAGTCCGGCCGTGTGGGGCGAGGTAGCGAAGGCTCCCCACAAGACGCCGGTCTTGCGTGGCGCCCACCTCCTCCGTCGTCTTTGTCGCGCTCGACTTCACCTCTCCTCCATCGGAGTGAGAGAGCTGGGTTCGCGATCGGTGAGCCCAGCTAGCTCAACGACGCGCTTGGCGTAGGCGATCTGTCAAGTGTGATCCGGAGTCATTCGGTGCACCTCGATGCCTGTGTAGAAGGAGAGGGCCCCATGTCACTCATCCGGAAGGTGGCCTTCATCTCTTCCTTGAATGTCGCCACCTCCGCATCCTTGGTGCCGGTGATCACCAAGTCGTCGACGAGACACCCACCAAAGCAGAGCGGTTCCTCCAACGCCCGTCGGTAGATGGTCACCCTCGTGCGGGCTTTGCTCAAGCCCATCCCTTTAGCGTGGAATCCAACTTGGCATTCCACACCCTCGATCTGCCGCCAAGCCATAGAGGGCCTTGCGCAGTGGAGCACCTTGCCCTCCCTGCCGGGATCGCAAATCCGGCGGGCCGGTGCATCGTGAGACCTCCTCCTTCAAGTCGCCATAAGAACGCCGACTTGACGTCCATGTGATGAACACGCCACCCCCCCGGGTAGCTAAGCGCGAAGTCGCGACGGACTCCATCCGTGCCGCAGGGAGCAAAGGCGTCGTCGAAGTCGACCCCTCTCCCCGCCGCAGAAAACTCGTGCCACCAAGCGAGCCTTTGTGCTTGCGATGGCACCGGCTTTATCCTCTTCGACTTTGAACACCCACTTAAGGGTGATCGCGCGGTGACCACGAGGAAGGTCAAGAAGCTCCCAGTGCGGGTTCTTCTCGACCGCATCCATCTCCAATCGCATCGCGGCGCTTACGCATGCCAGCGTGTCTCTCGGCTCTGCATACGCATCGAGGCTCGCCGTCACACACGCAAGGTGCAATCTAACGCCTCCAGTCGTGAGGCACCGGTCCGACACCGGCTGGTCGCCGAGAAGGTTCTCCATCGTACGGTACCGCAACGGCTCGCCGTCGTGGTACGCGTCGACACGCTCCTCGTCATGAGAGAGCGCGAGTGCTCAGCAATCTGGTCGTGCTCGACACGAGCCGGTGGTGGAGTAGACGTGCCAGTGGGTGCTGTCGGCTTTGGAGTCTTGTGGCGTTGCCGGTATGTAGTGGTGGCCCGTGAAGAACTCATCGCGGTAGAGGTCCCGCTGGGAGAGTGTGGTCTTTGTCCAGTAGCAGCGCCGGGTCGGTGGAGGCTCGGGGGCCCGAGGTAGACGCGCTTGCCGGGCGAGAGCGCTTACTCCCCCCATTCCTCGAAGTGGACGTACTCGGCGATTGAAGTCGCCGTGACGTCGGAGCCGAGCCGTCGTCCACCGCCTTGTCCCACGCCCATCTCTCTTTCTTTCGTCGAACACAACGCCGCTGCTGCGCAGGCGCATACGCCGTGTCTTGGTCGAGGATACGGTGAGGCCTTCGAGCCCTCCGCGTGGCCGGCGAACACTCCCGAGTGCTCCTGCCGTCGAGCTTGCTTTGATGTGGCTAAGCTCCTTGGCGAACGCGAGGCGCCCAAGACCCGCAAGTGGGAGACCGCCGGCTTGCGCCCATGCCAAGCCTCGTCGACGGTGTCTGCCGTCGGCGCCTTTGGTAGGCGAAATGGTTGAGGATGTAGACGGCCGCCACCACCGCCTCTCCCTAGAAGACAGCCAAGATCCCTCTCGCTTGAGGAGGGCCCGAGCCATCCCCACAACCGTCTGGTTGCGCCGCCGACGACGCCATTCTGCTGCTCATGTTGTCTGGTAGCGGAGTAGTGGCGCTGAATGCCCTCGTCAACAGTAGTGATCGACGCGAATTCAATTGCCACTGTGAATTCGCCCGCCATTGTCGGTCTGTGAAGAAGACGCTGCACTTCTTGTACACTCAGACTCGCCTCCGCCTGCACTGACTGCATGGCCGCTGATAAGCGTCCCGACCCTCTCCCTTGCCGCCGGGACCATCACCCACATGTAGCGGGAGAGGTCGTCCGACGAACAAACAGGAAGTAGCGTCGTCCCCGGTGTGGCCGTGTCACCGCCACACAAGTCCCCGCACAAGCTCGAGCCTCTCCTTGGCTCGGCTCGCCTCACGAGAGAAAGGGGAGTCGCCTCGCTTCGTGAACACGCAGACGTCGCAGAGCTACTCCACATGGTCAAGGCACGCAGGCCCTCGCACCATCTCCGTGGCACCGAGCCGCCTGGGCCTCGAAGTGAAGGTGCCCGGCGCGCTCGTGCCATCGCCACGCCTCGTCATCCCGACGGCGGCCGAGACAGAGGGTTGTGCCACCGCACGTTAAGGATGTAGAGTCGATTTGGCGCTTACGGATACCTTGGCAAGAAGGCGGCGACGGCGATCCCAAATCCTCATGACTCCATCCTCAACCACCACGCGAACCATTCTCATCCAAATGTCCCAAGTCGATGATGGAGTTCCTCAACGCGGGATGTAGTAGACTCCGGTGAGCGACTGTGCTCACCGTGACACACGGCGAAGAAGATGACGGAGCCGACGCCTTGATCTCCACGCCGAGGCATCCCCAAACTTGACGGAGCCTCGGGCGCTAGAGTCAAGCTCGGTGAAGAACTCCGTCGACCGGTCATGTGATGGGTGGCGCCGGTGTCGAGGCACCACCCGTCGATCTTGTCGTTCTTGAGCCGTCAGCGAGGAGGGCGTGTGCTTTTGGCTCGTCAAGGTGGAGGAGAACCGCTGTGGTCGGTGCATTGGAGGTAGCTCGATCTTCGGCATGTGCCATGAACAGAGCCGTTCCTCCTCCGCTTTGTCGGCGACGTGGGCTGGCAACGCCGTGTGTTGCCGACGATCCTTGGCCCAATGGCCAAGCGGCCGCGCAGCTTGCGGCGGTGTCGCCTCGTCTTGGCTTATTACTGCCGCCGCGCGCCTGGCGCCTCGCGGGCATCACCTCGGCGACGTCCTCGCGCCCACTGGGCGTCTCTGCTGCTTGCCACGCTTATGGCACTTTGTCGCGGAAGAAGGCTCCCCTTCCTCCGGCCACCACAGGCCGGCAAGCCATCGCTCCCGAGTGAGAAGGAGCTTCCCGCCAAGGTGGTGATGGGCCCCGAGAGGGATCAGGCTCATCGGCGTCGACGACCTTGAGGCGACCTATCGCCTCCTCGATCGACATCGTGGAGAGATCCAGCAGAGACTTCGATCGAAGCGAGCCATATGCCTGTACTTCTCGGGGCCGCAGCGGAAGAGCTTTTCAACGGCTCTCTCTCGCCGTAGGTGTCGTCGCCGAATCGCACCATCTTCTCGCAATGAGTGTTGAGACGGAGAGCAAAGTCATCAACGCCCTCACCGGCTTGAAGGCGAGTTCTCCCACTCCTTGCGGCGCTGCGCGCAGGACTTCATGGGCGCTGATCGCCGCTGCGTCGTGCGCAGCGATGGCGTCCCAAGCCTCCTTGGCGGTCCGCTTCTTTGTAAGCGAAATCGCATCTCGGCGGGATCGCAGCGATGAGAGCATCCAAAGACCCGTCGATCTAGGTCGTAGTCGACGCCGCCGCCGTCTTCGGCTGCCTCCCACATGTGCCGCACTGAGCTTTACCCTCATCACCGCAGCCCACTCGGCGTGAAGTTGGTCTTGGTGAGGGTAGGCCACCTTCTTGGGGCCGACGTCCCCGACGACGGCACAGAGCCCGTGGTAACCACGGTCATCGATCCGGGAGCGAAACCCACGCAGCGCGTGACGGCCGCGCTTCTCCATCGACCCGTCCCGCCACCGCCGCCGCGCGCCTCCTCCAGAGAGCGCCACCGCCGTCGCGCGCCTCCTCCGGGCGCCACCGCATCTGCCAGCGCCTCCTCGAGGAGCGCCGCCAGCCAGCGTCGCGCGCTGTCACGGCTACCGCCACGCTTTCGTGGCGCGCTGGCTGCCTTGAGAGCGCGCCACCACCGCCGCGCGCGCCTCCTCCAGAGCGCCGCCGCCAGTAGCGTCGCGCGCTATGCAGGCTGCTGCCGCCACGCTGTGGGCGTCGCGCTACTACCATCATCGCCGCGCCATGCCGCTTCCCTCTCTAGCAGCTCAAGGTCCGCGTCGGCGGTGTCGTCGCCGAAATGGAGTCGCCGATCTTCTTGCCGCGCAGAGCCTCGACCTCCGCCGCCACAGCGCGCCTGCCGATCCGCCGCCGCCGCCCATCGCCTCGCCTTCTCAGCTCTCTGCCGGCTCCGCCATTGCCGACCTCGCTTGCTTGCCGCCGCAGCGGCGTCTCTCTGCCGCCGCTTCCGTTTCTCTCCGCGGCAAGTTCGGCCTCTTCTTGACGCCAAGTGCTCGAGGCGACCGAAGGCAGACGGCCTGCGGACATGGCGCGCCATCTTGGGGGCGCTGCGTGGGGGGAGAGAGGCTGCCAGACAGCTGCTTTCGTCTGCACAGAGGGAGGAGAGGAGGAGCGGGAGCGACCGAGTCTGCTGCTACTCTCACTGGAAATTTGCATTGCGAGGTCGGCAAGGGATGAGCAGGAGATGCTCAAAGCTACAGGATACTATGGCTCGATACTGTTGTTAGTCATTGAATTCTCACTCTTGGTAGTAGGAGAATTCTTACTCTCATCGAGAGGATGGTCCTTGTGGCTGTTTTTTTCGCTTTTAGGACAAAGATTTTAGACTAGAGGACAAAGAGACAAAGATCTTAGCTAGGACAACATATTAGCATCTTAGACTAGCATCTTGATATATGCTTGGTACGACTAGCGACCTATAAATATGTAACCCCAACCCCTCAGGTTGGCATGGCATTTGAGTAAGAAATAGACAAAAAAATTGCCCCAACTCCTAGTGTCATCCTCTCTCGATGAGAGTAAGAATTCTCCTACTACCAAGAGTGAGAATTCAGCGACTAACAGCACCCACATATTGGAATTCCAAGTGAAGAGTAAAATATAAGCTAAAGAACAGGGAAAATGACTTTCATCAAAGAAAAAAATCCACCATGACCAGCTTTCATTATACAAAGACATTTATATGCTTTAAAAGAAAAACCCCTTTTTGGTGAAGCCAAGTCATGTCAAACTTTGTGTTTCAACCATATTGAGCTAGATCTTTATTACATGTGTAAATAGTGACAACAAATTTCTAGTCTTCAATGGACTTCAATGAATAAGCAAGCCTGATTGAGATAACTTTTTGTCCGAATAAAGTTCTTCGTAACGGTTTAAAAAAATTCTATTGATGTAATCATAGATCCAACTGATAAAACACAAATAGCTTAAGATATTTGTGAGAAACAGTAGCCTGATGGGCGTACCCAGTGCAGAGAGCTCCCGCTCTATGCGGGGTCTGGGGAAGGGTGTAAGTGGCAAGCCTTACCCTCGCCTGTGCAATGCGAGAAGACCGCGACTCGAACCCGGGACCCCGGTCACAGGCGGTAAGACTTTACAGCTTGCACCAGGCCCGCCCTTCAAACAGTAGCCTGATGCATAAAGTAAAATTATACATTATAGTTATGCTACTGTCCTGTCAAACTGGCACGCACAAACTGAAATTTTACTTACATCAGGTGTAATAACAATAAAAAGGGTAGACCCAGTGCCGGAGGCTCCCACATAAGTGGGGTCTGGGGAAGGGAAAAACCGAGGCAAGTCTTCTCCCAGCAAAATTTGCGGAGAGGCTGCTTCGAACCCACGACCTAGTGACTCAGTGAGACAGCTCACCACTGCACCAGGCCTGCCCTTCATCAGGTGTAATAACAATGAAGGGAAAAAAATAGGGGAAGAGCCCTACAAACACACACACTAACACCACAAAAAGCATGCTACTAGCAATCCAGCTCGCCTGTGACAAAAGATGAAATGACCCAGCCAAAGCAAACACACTAAACCAGGCAACTAGCAAAGCTTCATAAACACATGAGCCAATTCCATTTGCCCATTAGACAGATGATAATCAATATGGCATTAACCAAACATAGGAACATAAGCAAAAAAATGGCTCCAATAAGAGGTCAATAGCTAATTCAACCAATCTGATAGGCAAAATATGGAGGGAACAAAGGTCTGCATCCCTCATGTTCTATTGGCTAAGTGATTGCAACTACTCACTAACTTGCTACTACACAAAAAACAACGAAGCATTTTGACAATTATAGATATGCACAACACATCTCCAGAAGGCAAAGGTGTGATGCTTCCACCATTTGCATAGCTAAACCAATAAATCATGATGATTGACAAGAAAAAAATTGACAATCTACAAGAAATGCAGCTAAGTTCTTCTCAAATTGCATCATCAAGAGCTCGCAAAATATCACACAGCCCTAAACAGCACACAAACAGGAAAAAGGAGCTACTACATCTAAGTTCTTCACAGGATCAGGCAAATCAAGTCACAGATTCAACCTTGGACGGATACAGGCACGCAATTCAACCACTTCCTGCAGTCAGGTGCCACTGAAACAGCTCCAAACAGAAAATGCAGATAAACCCCTACCACCCCCAACTCTAAGCGACATCATCCAGCAGTTCCTGAGCATCCACCCGCAGAAAGGGGAGGAGCGGTAACCGAGTAAGCACTGCAGCGAGCGCTCACCTTTACCGACCTCCAGTGGTCGAGGCAGTCGCGGTGCACGTACTTGGACGTCCCCTTGCACTTGCAGGGCGCGATGAAGTCCCTCCCTGCGCACGCACACCCACACAACCAGTCAGATCTCCGCCGCCCTGCCATCCCGGCCAAACTAATAAGGGGAAACAAACAAAAAAAACGCAGCCAGCAACGGCACGTGCGAGTCTGGCCGGGGCCGCGGAGCCTCCCTCACCGTCGGTCTCGAGGCAGATCCGGCACTGGAGCTGCTCCCCGCCGCCGCCCGCCTCCAGGTCGATCTCCGACGGCGGCGGGATCAGCGGCGACGACGCCTTATCCTCCATCGCCGCCCGCCCGCCGCTCCCCCTCCCAACCACCGCCTCGGCTGGCGCCTCTAGAACCTCGTCGGCTCCGCGCCCATCCGAATCCCTAGTCACCTCCGCCCGCCCACTTCGACCGAATCGAACCGACGGGACGGGACGGGGAGGTTGGAGAGGAGGAACTGGGGTTAGGTGTGTGCGTGCGGGGCGGGTGGAGGTGGAGGTGGACTAGCGCCTAGCGGCGAAGCGAGGTATAGCCTTCTTCCGCGACGCGGCGGCGGGCTAGCCGCGGGAGGATGACGCGCGGGGCCTGCCAGCGCGGCCGATGGGGCCGCACTGTCAGTGGGTGTCGTGGGGGCGGGTTGGGTGGCGCGCGCGCGCGCGCGAGCCCGTGTCGCCGAAAAGAGGCGAGTAATCCATTTTTTGCATTGCTTGCAAAAAATCGTTGTGTAGGGTGGTTGGCATAGATCTACAGTCGTAGTTATCTCGCCCCCTCTCCTTTTTCTTCTTTAGGTTGCGACCGTTGTTTTGTGTTCTTGTTATTGTGCTGGGTAAAATCAAAACAAAGGATGACTTTACTGCTCCAATGTATTTCTAATTGTACACTATTCTTGTCAACTTCGTTCGCTGCTTGTCTGGCGCAAGTGCCCGCGCGTTTGAACGGGGTAAACAAAATCAACAACCATCTCTGGCACAATAAATTTATACCCAATACTCCCATTATGTTGACAACAATTTATACCCAATACTCCCATCACTTTGCACACACGACTTTTCTTTCCCGAATTTATTTCAGATGTAGTAAAATAATGAAATTGCAGTACGAGGGAGGGTCTTAATGTAGTACGGTATGGACAAAGACAACGAGGTAAATTAAAAGGTATTTTAAGTTTTTAACATTTTTCGGTAACTCCAGATAGATTAGCAGGTCACCTGTTCTTTGAGTGCCCTTTCGGCAGAGTTGCTGGAACTCCATCCCGGTTGTTTGGAACCTTAGTCTCCAGCCTCTAGACAAGCTGTTAATAGCAAGGCAACAGTTTGGAAGCGAAATTTTCAGAGAGATAATTACTACGGCTTGCTTGGTCATCTGGAAGACAAGAAACGATTTGATATTTGATAACGGCTCACTCTCCATTAGGAATTGGAAAACAACATAAGGAGGAACTTGGCTTGGTTTGTATCAAATCTAGAGAACAGTGAAAGGACCACTAGCATTTGGCGAGACAATTACTCAGATAGTTAGACCTTTTCTTTTTGCCTTTTGAGCCTGAGGCTTTGTAACCTTGTAACTTACATTCTTTCATTTACTTGATAAATACAAAAACAAATAGGTAGGGGCCTTCCCTGCTGGTGCGTTTTTCAAAAAAGAAAAAAAGAAAAAAGATTAGCAGGGAGGTAGAGAAGGGAAAGAACTACTGGTCTCCATGTTTCATTAGGTTGGCCGGCCGCTGCTACAGCCTCCACCTCCAAGTTGACCCGACCTGGATCGAGACGGCAGGAGGGAAAGCACCGACATGAGTCATTGCTACCGAGCTCATCAAAATTCCTCATCCCAGCAGCCCCAACTTCTCAAAGGCCACAACACGGCCCAACTCAAGGTCACCGCTGAAGGAGAGCACAACATCCCGATCAGGAAAGACCTAAATAGTGACAAACTTTCACGACAACACCTTCAGGAAGGTAACGACACCAATGGTACCAGCCCAAAAACTGGAGTGGGTTTTCACCTGAAGAATCCAACAAGGTGGGACCATAGTGACCAAGTTCCCAGGACTATTGGGTCATGGAACACAGATCGTGGAATTTGGTTTGCTCCTTGAGAAAGGTTTTTCTAGTATAAAAAAAAGAGAAAGGTTTTTCCACTAGTAGGGTGAGATTGTTTCCACGTTCCTAGGACAGGGAATGTAGCACCATACCGTGTTCCCAGTGACAATAGGTGGGACTCTGAGGCACTTCAGATGCCTCCAAGAAGGGAATGACGTTTATGATGTCCATAGGGGTCGCCATCAAGGCTCTCATCTTGGCATCTGCTGAAACCACCCCTCTGAGGGCAGCCTAACCACTGTTGTGCCAACATTGCAGTTGTCATGTTGGGCCCCAGTGCGAAGGTCTTGCCATGGGCCCTATCTTGGGAGAGTGCGAAGATCTTGCCAATGACACCCTGCTACAAGGCAAGCAACATCAGACCCAGGTGCAAGGTCACAGGCCTGAGCATTGCTGACCTCAACGATGCACCTAGACAGCGAGCAGTGAGCGAAGAGCACCTCTCGCTGGTGACACCTTTAATCCCAGGGGTTCGAACCCAATCCATGACATCTGGTTGCAGAAACATGCTAACAAAACGCAAACACGCCGGATCTACTAAACGCTATCATCTGGTCGGCTAGGCACTTTATCTTTTTTCTCCTTCTAGATACCATTATTGTGTTTGTGTTATACACATGATGTACCATTATTTATTAGTATGCCTAATTTCTTGGATTTATATTGCGCATATGCCATGGTTTTTGTATGACACCAAGCTATTATAATTTAATCATCTAAAATGGCAGTAATTAAGCTTGGCTCATGCCAACAATGTTTTAATCTTATTTTAGGACGTGTCTATGCCGATGATGTTTTAATTCAAGTCTGAGCATATTTTAGTTGGTGATGGCTGTCCATTCCAAGATCATATTTTAATCCACGTCAATACTCTTATATTTTAGTTTCATTGAATGTATACAGGCCGTTTTTTCCCTCTCTATAATACAGCTCTCTTGTGTATTCGATAACATATTTTTGTTTCATTGAGCATACGCTGCCCAGCTAGCCTACCCCAACTTGCTTGGGACTGAAAGACTCTGTTGTTGTTGTTGTTGAGCATACGCTGCCCAGCATGTGCAGTGTGTGAATTTGGGCTTATTTTGTGCTTCTTTTGTTTCCAGTTGTCCAAGTGCTTTCGAAAAAATGAATGTACATGGTTATTAACTTATTATTAATTATTAATGCAACAGCTTAATCGTCCATTACTGTGCATTCTTTGTGAGTAGATTTAGATGCATTGGACGTATGTAGTAGTTGTTCATGTTGGTTAATGGTTTGTATCCTTCCTTATCTAGCTCTTGTATCAATTTTTAACTATGCTTATTGGAACGTGTACTGCCCTCTGGGTGAACATGCAGCCTCACTAACACGTGTCATGTTCCTCTTTTTCTTTGTCTTCAGGATTGGCTCAGCTCATGGAGGGGACACCGCGTTCGTGGTCAGAAGTCCCGCTGGAGCTCGCGGGCCTTGTGCTTGGCCGCCTGCCTTCCCACATTGACCGAGTCCGCTTTGGCGCTGTATGCTCTCAGTGGCGCTCCGCCGTACAGCAGGTCCGGCTGCCTCCACCACTGCCGCTGCTTGCACTCAAGGATGGCAGTATGTTCTACAGCATGCCCCGGGGCGAGCCGCTCCACTTTGCTGGCTGTGAAAATGGCTTTGCCACAGCTTCTGGTAACTGGCTGGTGTACCGTCGCTTGCACTGCTTGCTCTTGGTGGACCCCTTCTCTGGTGCCACTATGACCCTTCCTGCACCGCCTCGGATATATGTCCCTGATGAGGGTGATGATGATTCTGAAGACGGTAATGACACTGCATTGATGGATGCTCTGGACAGCAAGTCCTTTGTCATGGTAAAACTAATTGTGTGCTCGCCCTGCCTCATTGCTGCACAGTTCAGGGTTGACACTGTCTTTAAGGTTGCAGTGTGCCGGCCTGGATCCTCATCATGGTCACTACCACAGTGCCCATTTCCGTGACGTACTGACATTGCGTTCTACCAGGGGAAGCTCTACGCCATCACCTGTACCGGGTACCTTTTAGCTCTCAACATCAGTGTGGATGATAACACTGGTGATCCGCAGTTTACGGAAAGTGAAGAAATTGGCTTCGAGGTGATAATTAAGGGCGATTGCAAGACCGAAATTAAGATTGATGACTGCAACTTCATGAGGATGGTCTACCTAGTTGAGTCGCATGGCTCATTGCTGATGGTGAGCAGAAGGATTTTTGAAGGGCACATCCATGGCAAAGGACAGATACAAACTTTTGCTGAACAGTGTGAGCCTGAGGTTGTGGTCCTTGTCTCCTTGAGGCTGATTTCGAGCGATCACGGTGGGCCAAGGTGACGAGCCTCGGGGACGATCAGGTGCTGTTTCTTGGGCCATGCTCCAGGGCTGTTTGCATGCCTTAGTGTGACTCGCTGGGAAAGTGTGTGTGGTTCTTGGATGACTATAAGAATTATCACGCAGGACACAAACGTAGGGGCAGGTCTAGTTCTGGTACTGAATGCAATTTCTTGTTTGACTATCACACTTGGGACGAGTGTGAGAGCAGCTACGATGCTGATGGTGTGGCAAACGACAAGCCGTTCTCGTATCTGCCAATGATCTCACGGAGGGGCCACAAGGGGCTTGCAGGTGCAGCGTGGCTCTTCCCTCCAAATTGATGTGGCAATGGAAGCTTTGAAGTGTATCTGTATTTCTGTGGCGGCCTGCTGCGCCCCAACAATTCTAATTTACTTTTGGATGATTGTGTTAATACTCAACTTTGTGAATTTGCCTGTACCGTACATGCTGTTACAGTCCTTGTGTGAAGTGTGAACTAAGGCTTGGCTTTTTATGTAAGCATCCAGTGGCTCTTTGTGATATGCTTCTGTTGTCTCCAGAGATTGTTGGTCCTGGGCCCTTGGGGAAAGGTGTGTCCGACGAATATTGACCAACTTGGCAGCATGAGTTGTTATTGGGATATTATGCCATTGCCTATAGCTTAGCGCTAGAAATATCCCTTTGGAACAAGTTATATCTAGAAATATGACTGAAACACTAGGAAATTTTTGAGTGGTGCCCCATGCAATGTAAGATTTATTATGCTCGAAATTATTATAGGAAACTTTCCTTCCATACTTTTTTTTAATTGTCAACATGAGCTGGAAACTTAGTGAAATTCTTTTGAGAAATTCCGGTAAAAGAAGAATTCTTTTGACGTGTACTCAAGCGCTA